TGCCGCAAAACTGCAAAATTTTGCAGGAGCTTGTGCTGGGCACGTCTTGTCTGCTCTCAGGTCAGGCTCCGCCACTGTTGATTTTTTTTTTTTTTTTATATATCTATACTTCATAAAACTTTAGCTCAAAGGTGAACATTGTGAAACATGGAAATTGATGCCACAATCCAGAACTCACTACAATATTTCCACTTTTATACTTATGATTGGTATGAGGTATGTTTGTCATAGTGCAGTGTTTAGCCTTCTCCAATTAAAATGCTTCTCATTTAAGCAGAAATGCTTCACATTTTCCTGATTTGTCTACAGTAGATTGCCTCATTACATTAGTAATAACCAACACGAACTATCTACAGACCAACATCCAAATCGCTGGGTTCTTTTGGTGTTTTGAACATCTTGCTGCTGGAGATGTTTTAATGTTAAGTTCTCACAGTGAGAGTAAAAGTAGTTTTGGATTGTCTTGATTTGTAGTAATCTTTATGTATGTGTAGACAAAGTATATCAGTGATTTTATAATGGAATTTGTAATAGACAGATATAGGTTATGGGGTTTAGTCATTAAACACTGAATTTCTTAAACAGTGAACAAAACAATGCAGTTCAAAGATTATCAGCATACACAGGATATGAAAGAGATCCATATGTTCTTACAACATAAATAATATTTGTAAGGTTCTCACCTCATTCAAAATAAAAGAAAATTTGCAGCTTTATTTCCCATGAATTCATAGGTAAAAATCTGTATGTGGTAAACAGGGCACAGAAAAGATGTTTGTGTTGTTTGCTGTCACAGGTTTGTATCCTATACCTTGCAGGTTCTTTTACTGAATTGCAGAGAGCTGAAAATGTAAGGCACAAAATTATGATTTTGAAATATTCTGCAACTTTAGACACAACTATTAGAAAAGGGGCAGAGCCTGACCTTCAACACGAGTGGTCGCACTAGTTTACAGCTCCGGGCTTTCAACAGCGAAAACAGCACTATTACCCCAGCAATTCCTCCTTATTCACGACCTGGGTGCCCCCCTGGACGACCTGAACTACATGGGATGCAAACCCCAAAAATTTAAGCTAGACAAACCCAACTCTGGCCTGACCATCGGGGACATGTGGGCCCAAGATGGCGATGCTCTCGGGCGGCCACTCGGATTTCTCAGATGAGATCTCCGAGAATACAGAGGGAGACTTTATGCCTGTTCAAGCTCCAGCTCCAACACAGGCAAGCATAGCAGGAGTTGATTCCTCTCCAGTAACGACTGTGATCCTAAAGGCGCTCCTTGTGCAAATGGACCTGCAAATGAAAATCCTGGTGGATATTACTGCAATCTGCAGGGGCTGACAGGCCGTATCAGAACACTGGAAAATGCCTCCCAAGCAAGCACTTAGCAAATTGCCACTATCCAGTTAGAGGTGTAGGACCTGAAGCTGCAGAACCTCATGCATGAACGCCGCTTCACGGCCAAAGAGGACACCAGGAGGCATAATAACCTTTAAAGGCAGAGGGGTCCCAGAAGACATACCATAGGCTAAACTACCACACATGGTGAGACACCTATTGACAGCGTTACTGACTAACTGTCAAGCCAAAACAGTTACCCTAGATGTAATCTTTCGGATCACCAAACCTTCCACTGCACCAGCTAAGGTCTCGAGGGACCTAATCATCACCTTCCGAAGCAGGAAGGACAAAGTAGTGGTTCTCACAGCCTTGAAAGAGAAGTCACCTTTCTGTTTTGAAAATATGTCACTGTCATTTTATGCAGACCTGTCGAGCAGAACACTAGCCTGGCGAAGGTCGCTTAAACCACTCATCTCTCTGCTTCAATGGCATGAGATCCACTATTGCTGGCGTCTGTCCCGCTTGCTAATTATCCATAAGGGGAATGACACGCACTCCATCCAAGACCTCCAGGGCTCAGCAGCACTGCTAAGGGACTTGTGCCTACCCTAGGACTCTCTCACCCGGTCAGACACAGTAACTCGCATATCCCATCTTGAACCCAGCCAGAAGCACCCCATTTGTCCCGCAACGGGCCAAGTTGGACTCATATGCAACCATTGCCACCTGAAGGGAACCCTCACGGCTTCTTGGATGCTGTTCCAATGTTTGTTTAATTGTTGAAAACTCTGTGGACTCGTGACACTATGGTTTACATTTTGCCAATGGGTCTACAATCCTAAGGACACATTCCTCTTGCGGTTCGAAGTTCGGTAACATTTTATTTTAGAATCCCTACTTTTTATTTTTCTGTGCAGCTACAAGAAAAATCTGAGAGTACTAACTACCTCAACCTCTGGGACTTCCATCCTATAAACTCTCACGGTGACTATTTCTAATTGCGGTTCGAAGTTGGTTTTGTCTTTTTTTCTTGTTTGTCTTTGTTTTCTAAATTGGCTTATAGTTCTTATGATGAGCTAATCATCACCAGATAGGACCCACACCCACTCTACATCCCGTGATTGTGCAGCGAGAACTTGCTACCTTCCCCCTCCTTCCCCCCAGCACCCGGAATCTATTGTGAGCATCAAGGCTCTACATAGTAAATGGCAATAACGAAGGCACCAGGGTACTGGAAATGTATACATTCACGTATTCATCCACACATAGAAATGTGGTTAATGGCATTTACTGTCCTGACAGGAAAGGTTGTGCTGAGCAACATTACCTTCCTGACAGGTAAAGTTGTGCCGAGCAGCAATCATGCACATGGAAACCTGGTAATTACTTTTGAGGTAAAAGGTCATGACCAATCAAATCCACAGGAGGGTTTGTGCTGAGCAGCAATCATGCACATGAAAACCTGGTAATTGCTTTTGGGGTCAAAGGCCTGTTACAGCCAATCGGATCCACAGGAGGGGTATTTAAACCCAATTCTCCTCTTGCTTATTGCCCTGTCGTGGTTTCATCTTGATGGTCACCCGAGAGAGCGTTCCTGATCTTGATTTTCTGGTATTTGACTTTGGCTTCGTTTTGACTGCCCTGAATTCTGGCATCCTGGACTTTTGGCTTTCCCTCATCGTTGTCTTATTCTGTGTTCCTGACCTCGGCTAGTATTTTGACTATTCTTGGATACTTTAAGTCTGGCCATTCTAAGGTCTGGGGGTGTGACACAGTTCTGCGGGCTGGATCAACTTGTAATCCTGACACCTTCCTAATTTATGTTACACCCATAAACAATGGCCCATTGTTACCCACTAGGCCAAGAAGCGATTCATAAGCAGGCACAGGAGTGCACAAGCTAAATATTAAGCAGATTACCTAGGCAACTTGCTATAAGTATTAAAGCGATTCCTTTTACTTTTAATTTTGATAATGCTTGATCCCAGTAATCTACTGTCTTATTGGTCCTTGACATAACCTTCTCTAGATCTCATGGAAACATAGAATGTGACGGCAGATAAGGACCATTCAGCCCATCTAGTCTGCCCAATTTTCTAAATACTTTCATTAGTCCCTGGCCTTACCTTATATCTAGGATAGCCTTATGCCTATCCCATGCATGCTTAAACTCATTCACTATGTTAACCTCTACAAGATCATCTGGTAGGTTATGCCATGCATCCACCACCCTCTCAAGTAAAGTAATATTTCCTAATATTTTTAAACCTTTGCCCCTCTAATTTAAGACTATGTCCTCTTGTTGTGGTAGATTTTCTTTTTTAAAATATAGTCTCCTCCTTTACTGTGTTGATTCCCTATGTATTTAAATGTTTATTTCATATCCACCCGTCTCGTCTTTCCTCTAAGCTATCAATGTTAAGATCTCGATATTACTGGAATGATAATCTATACTCTGTGTAAGGTCTAGAGATGTTCACATAGCATGTTAAATGCAATGCTTAAAGGACTAGTCAGTCGTTATACTGCTAAACGCTGAGACAGGCTTTTCGTTTAACCATGTTTACCCTTCTTAACATAAAATGTGCAATGTTACGAATACCACACTGTTATACTTTATTCAATTATATGCATGCGCCAGCTGTTGTGGAAGTGCAATACTGATTGTCTATTCTATGCATAAAATAAAGGATTTAAGTTGAAAATAAACCTTAGAAAAAATAAAAGAGAGAGAGAGATATTTTACTGTTTTGCTTTAAGTTTTGAGATCTTGACCCTTTCCCCTGTCATGTGAAGAGGAAGGGCTAGAGTGGCAGGAAGAAGAGGACAGGGGAGAAGTCATGTTCTCTGAGTCTGCATAAAGAAAGTGTGTTCCTACCTGTTTCAATTATCTATTCCTGCTGGGACAGTGAAATAAAAACAGGGGAAGGCTAGTGCACTGCTACTACAAAAAGTTGCAATCTTTCTACTGCTCGGCTAGGAGAGTTAGAAGACTGTTATTGTATGTTTAACTCCCTGCAGATTCTGGAACTATCTGCAGTAGTGTGAATGAGCTTTTGCATCCTGTTTGCAGAAGGAAGAGAACGGATTGCCATTGCTGTTATGCTGCTGTCCTACATTCAGCTGGATCTTTGTGGAGATATCTGCAGTTACAGAAGTCACTCCTGAGTACTGTCTCCAGAGATTGCTTCAGGATTCTCCCATATAACTATATCTGGGCAGCACTACCTACGCCTGAGGGCCCCAACATTGTGCACATAATTTATCTGCAGGTACCTAAGAGTTTAACTGTTCAGATGTTTTATTGACGTTATTAAGGGAATTTTGCTGTCGGCATTCCTGCTGCTAAAGACTCTTGTGACTGTATCTTTCCTACATCAGGGACTTTATCATCACTTAGCATTAGCCAGGAACTGCATTGTTATTTCTGCTTTTATATGTGCGTCTCTCTCACCACAATCCAGTCTGTATTCCCATGTCTGTGTTTATTTCATGTTCATGAGGTATTATTAAGTGGAGGTTACTCATCTACTCATTAGGGTGGGTTCCCCATAAATAGAAGTTGAACTGAGTGGAGGCACTGCGTCAGAACAAGATATCCCAATCTCCCAACTATAGTGGAGGCTCAGTATCCCTGTCAGTGACAAGGTGTAACTGCTGCTAACTATGGCTTGTTGCCCAGAGCAGTGCAAAAAAGGGTTAGAGATGGAGGCACTGCTGAGATGAATCAGGACTTCAAAATTGATAAAAAAAAATCCAATGTCTCAGCCCCAAATAAATCAGGGACTGGGCCAGGATGAAAGTCATTCCCCCAAATCAAGGTGTAGCTGTTTGTAACATGCTTTTCAACCTGGAAAGGAAATGTTTTGATGAAGCCATTTGACAGATCACAGGGTTACAGAAATTCCACCTTATACAGACACAGAAGGATGAGAAGGCCAGACTTGTTGTTGCTCTAGTGATGAGTCATTGTCCACTAAATAAAGAAGATTGTCCTAAGTATTTACAGTTGCCAAAGACTCAGCTCCCTGGAAGTCCTTTGATTTATGCTCAAGATGAGTCAGAAGATGAAAGTGACCCAACTGATGGGGACAGTAATCACATCTTTGGTATCCCTCCTAGGAGAATAATTATGACTGATACTGAAGGAAAAGACAGTGACTGTTGTGGATCAGAAATGTTGATCTTTGTTATATTCAGAGGAAGCCCAAATTGTTGTTACAAGTGCACTTGGAGAAGCGAAAATTAGACACCAGACACCTGTTGGTATTCAAAATAAGCCTCTGATGTTTTATTCATCAGCTGGGTTTTATACATTAAAAAGTAAGTGCTTACGTGCAAATACTCTTAGAACAGTAATAGGAAGAGAATACAGATAAGACATAGGGATGAGCGTCATGTACACATAACAAATAAGTTTCAAGGTAAGAGAGAACAAAATGATTAGAGCAGAGACATCTTAGGTGGGGGCTCTCTGCTCCCGGAACTTAGACATATATGGTCTTAAGTGTTGTTTAAGCATCAAGCATTTCCTGAGTCCAAGTTAGCCAATTTTAATATAGGATATCATTATATGACACCTATAAGCTTGAGCCTTGGAATCAAGATAAATTCTATCACAATCCCCTCTTTTGATCCAAGGGTCACCCAAATGTCCAAGGTTTATCCAGGCCTGCTAACCAAAGCCTGTGGGACTTTCATTTATTGCTTCACCACGGTTCCCTTGGACTGAGAGACCACCAGAATCAGCGGAGGAGAGTTCCTTCATTTGTTAGGCGAGGTAACATCATAAAACCTTTTCGAAGTTGGATCTGGAATGTAAGTTAAGGTACGACCAATAGTAGGTTTGCTTTTACATAGAGAGGTTAGTAGACATGAAAAAAATCTAAAGGTTAGAAAAATAGCCATAATGACAAATATAGCTAACAGCAAAAAGTACAAAATCTTCTTAATTAGTAAAGTCAACCATGTTCCTAGCCCAAATGTCCAATCCCAATCCCCAAAGAAGCCAGTATCCTGTTTGATCTCCTGTACTAAGTCATGTAAATCTTTTATATGTTTATGGATCATAGTGCCATGGTCAGATAGGTTAAAACAGCACATACCTTCTATAGCTTCATAGCCTAAGTCATGTTTCATTAGTAAGTAGTCAATGGCTGCTCTATTCTCAAGGATTGCCTTCTTATTTGCCTGGCTGTCCATAAGTAGCTCTTCTAGGGCCTGTGAAGGGGCATTTAAACCTTTTGCAAGGGAACAAGCTACAGCATTTACTACTCGGGTATTATACAATGCTAAACCTGGGACTCCTACCAAGGTGTACGCTAGGGCAGAGTATTCGGCTTTAGATAAGAGAGTGATTTCTGGGTTACAATCTGCATTAAGGGTGTTTTTAACATCTCTCCTGTCTCTCAGCAGTTTGTGTAGCTGGGTGGTTTTAGTGATCAGGTCAGATTTGGAAAACATGGTCATGGTTAGGCGAGAGATTGCACAGGGACCTCCTGTAATGTTACCTGGGACATAAGCATAAGTAATATTTCCACAGGAGAAAGTCCATCCTTTAGGAAGATAGACATTGTAGTGGTAACAATTCATAGTGGTGCTTAGGGCTCTACAATTCGTGGTATTTTTCCACCATGTGGGGCAAAACAGGGATTCAGTATTAGGGTCTCTTGAACAATTACATGAAAAAGACCAACATAGTTCAGCGCCTGTCACATTAATTGTCTTCAGGGCTAGAGGAGGCTTGCCTAAAAGTGGGTTGAAGGCATAAGAATATAGTTGTAGAGATTTATGGGGTCTATGGGTATGTAGGTACTTTCTTAACAGTGAGATGGGGGTAGGGACAGCTATAAGACAAGATTCTATGGCGTTTTCAGTACTGAGGAGAGGGTTGAGGCAAAAGGAAGTTAAATTAAAAGCCTTTGCTATCTGCAACCATATATTTTCCTGCCATGCGTTATTATTTTCTGGTCTCAAGTCAGAGTAGCATATCTGAACACAGTTTAAAATGGTAAAGGATAAGAACAGCTTCATGTTGGTGGATCAGTCGGAGTGACTTGTTTACAGTGACTGGCGTGTATCCACGTGGCTTTTCCTTCTAGTTTCACTGAGGTAGCCGTAGTCAAGAGCACTTGGAATGGACCGTCAAAGCGTGGTTCAAGTCCTTTCCTCACATGCCTCTTTATCACCACCCAATCACCAGGTTGCAGTTTGTGAGTTGCAGAATCAGAGTCTGGATCTGTAATAGAATCAAAGACTTGTTTATGCACCCTGCCTAATCTTTGGTGTAGGGCCTGAACATAGGCAGTCATACTACCATGCTGCATCTGGAGGGTTTGGGGAAAATAGAGGCCTGTCTTTGGGGCACATCCAAACAGGATCTCAAAAGGGGATAAGCCATGTCTGGAATTGGGGGTGAATCTCATAGAAAAGAGTGCTAGGGGAAGGCATTCAGTCCAGGGCTTCCCTGTGTCTTGCATGGCTTTTGCAATCTTGTTCTTTAAGGTGCCATTTGCCCTTTCTACTTTCCCACTACTCTGGGGGTGATAGGGGGTGTGGAAGGCCTGACTGATCCCTAGGGCTTTCATAATTTCTTGCATTATTTCCCCAGTGAAATGGCTACCTCTGTCACTTTCAATCACTTCAGGTACTCCATATCTACATACCAGTTCCTTCAGAAGCTTACTTGCTGTGACCTTCGTTGTGGCTTTCGACACTGGGTAGGCCTCAGGCCAACCTGAAAAGAGATCAATGCACACCAACACATATTCATACACTCCTACCTTAGGTAGTTGAATATAGTCTATCTGCAGTCTTTGAAACGGGTAAAGTGGCCTTGGTGTGTGCTTACTTGGTGTTTTCACAGCTTGTCCTGGATTGTTTCTAGCACAAATCATGCAAGCTTGGGTGTGTTTAGCTGCTACAACAGTAAATCCGGGTGCTACCCAATGGGTGTTTACTATGCTGTTCATGTGCATCTTGGATAGATGTGTAGGTCCATGGGCAATCTGGGCCATCATGGGGTACAACACTCGTGGTAAACACAGTCTTTTACCTTTCCTCCACATTCTGTCATCATCAGGTTCTGCATCTTGTTTCCTCCAGAGGTCATGTTCTTCCTTGCTTGCCTGTCTTTGTAAGCTCAACAGTATATTGTAGTCAACGGCGTTATCTGTAAGAACAACTTGTAGAAAGGTATTACCTGTAGAGGGATGAACTTTGATTGCTGCTTGCTTGGCAGCTTCGTCTGCTTTGTGGTTTCCTCTTGAGATTTCATCTGTGATCTTCACGTGAGCTGCCACCTTGATGATGCCTACTTGAGTGGGTAGCAGGATAGCGTCCATAAGTGCACTCACGGCTTCAGAATTCTTGATTGGAGTTCCTGCTGAGGTGAGAAAATCACGAGCCCGCCATATAGGGCCAAAATCATGGGCTATACCAAAAGCATAGCGAGAGTCTGTATAAATATTAGCAGTCTTACCAGAAGCCATTTTACACGCTTCAGCGAGTGCCTTCAGCTCTGCCTCCTGTGCAGAGCAGTGAGGAGCGAGTGGTTCATTAATTAATAAGCTTTTATTACCTCATGTGCAGAGACTACAGCATATCCAGTGTGGAAATTACCCTTCTCATCGGCATATCTGGAACCATCTACAAAAAACTCAAAATCTGCATTAGATAATGGAGAATCAAATACATGCAAAAAACCTGCTGTCTCTTGTGCCATTAGTGCTGCACAATCATGGGGTACCTGGGCATCAGCTAACTCATCTGGTGAAAGTGAATTTACAAAAAGATCAGAAGTACAACCATTCACACTATCCCCACTCCCCTCTTTTAAATCCAGGGGAAGCAATGTAGATGGATTTAACACCATACACCTTTTAAGAGTAACATTAGGTGGCATAAGCAAGGCACATTGCATTCTGAGATGCCTTGCAGTATGTATGTGTTTTGGTTGAACTTGTGAGAGTATGCTGTTGATATCATGCGGTGTGTATATGGTCACCGGATTATCTAAAACAATATCAGTGGCTTTGTCCAGGAGGGCAGTAACAGCCGCCACTGCCCTAACACATGAGGGGGCACCCCTGGCAACAGGGTCCAATCTGGTGGAGTAGTATGCTATTGGTCATTGTTTACCACCATGATCCTGTGTAAGGACAGATGTAGCATAACCTGATTGCTCAGTACAGAACAGGTTAAAATTCTTTCTGTAATCTGGGAGACCCAGTGCCGGAGCTGACGTTACCAGTAACTTAAGGGTATAGAAGGCATTTTCTGCCGCATGGGTTAATTTAAATGGTTTGTTTTCGTTGGCAAGACAATCATACAGTGGTTGCATGTAGATAGCTACGGAACGCAGCCAAGGGCGGCAGTAAGAAATCAAACCGAGGAAAGTAAGAACCTGGGCTAAACTGCAGGGGGGTCTAATATTTTGAACTGCAGTTTTTCTACTTTCCGTGAGATGTTTTATGCCCTGGGAAATGCAATGTCCTAGGAAAATAACTTTCTCTACACATGCTTGCAGTTTCGTTTTTGTTGCTTTACAGCCTGCTTTTTCTAGGAATTTTAGCAAGGAAAGAGTGTTTACAATACAAGATTCCATATTATCGCAACATAGGAGTAGGTCATCGATATACTGCAATAAAATTACGTTATTTGGCCTTTGCCACTCTTCAAGAATCTGGGCCATAGCCATGCTGTACATAGTGGGTGAGTTTTGTGCGCCCTGTGGCAATACTGTCCAAGTGTACTGCTTGTGTTTATGTGTAAATGCAAATAAAAACTGACTGTCGGGAGCCAGGGGGACACTGAAAAATGCATTTGCCAAGTCAATAACAGTAAATACCTTAGAGGAAGGTGGTATTTGTGCCAAC